TGAGTTTAGTTTGGAATATGAAGCTTACTTAAGATTACTATGTATTTATATTAATTTTTAATAATTTTAATAATTATCTCAGGTAACTGAATTGAATGGATGAACGTTGATTAGGTTTTAGGTTAGTAGTGGCACAGTATTTCTGTATAATATACAGAAATACTGTGGTAGTGGAGTGGGAGCGGAATTTGTTGACATCTGTGACGTTACGTTTACCTGAATCGATCTACGACAATAGAAAACATCACTAGTTTTATTTCAATATAAAAAAATTATGACAGGAAATTTCAATGATGTTCTGACATTGATACATTTAGAAATCATGAAGGTATATAGTTCAAGATGTTTAAGAACTAACATTCATTATGTACTCGTGTAGTTTAATATTGGATTCAAACTTCCATAAAGTCCCCATGTAAAATTTTTTGAAGTTGGACCTCGCGCCAAAAGTGAATTCTAACCTAACTAATATGGTCTATAGGGTGGTTCGGGGAATTTCGGATATTGAAATCAAAGAATTTATTAGTTTTCTATTGGCAACCCTGATTTCACCAAAATTCCCAAGACCTCAAGGTCAAATCCGAGAATACCTACTCGGGTCAAATCTTAGTTAAATCCCTCAAATCAAATTCTAACCAAGAACCAAGGTCGACCCAATATCCAACTAACTATGCCTTTTTCTCTTCTTACTTTTGTCATCTGAAAATAAGTTTCTACATTTTGAATAATTGTTTTATTAAAAAGAAAAGACAAAGTTGGTTGGTTAGGGTTCCGGGTTTTCTTACAAAAATCTTTAGAAAAATGAAAAACTATGTAAAACAAATTGTTGAGCTAACTAAGAGCAATGTCTATATTAGAGATCCCGACAAAGTGAATGAAACGATAGAGAGATTGATTGATGGTGGTTGTGATAAGCTTCAGGTTGTGTCAGATTTTGACAAGACTATAACCAAACAACATGAAAATGGCAAAATATATGCCAGTAGTTTTGGTATTATTATTGTTTTAAATTTGAGCTACGTATTTTCAACAGTTAATATTTCAGCTATGTTCAGTAAATGCCCATCTGTAACCCAAGAACATATTAGAATTAAAGATGACCTAACTAAGAAGTATGCCCCCATTGAGGTTGATCCACATATTCCATTGGAAGAAAAGACGAAATTGATGCAGGAATGGTGGAGCTTATCAGAAGATTCATTGAAGTAATATATTTTCAGCTATTTACAGTATTAATAAGTATTGTTCATATATCTTCTCAATTGTAGATTCATACACTAGACTTTAGTTGTGAGTTGCAAATTTTAAGTAGTAAGAATTAATGTTTTTTGTTTGTTATTATTGGATACTTCGCTTTTGTGCACATACAAGTATGTATATATAATATAATGTCCATGCTCTTGCATAAATAATGTCATTGATAATCAATGATTAGCTGCTTACGAATAATAATTTAGGACTGCTGCGTGAATCCATCTTCTGTCAATTGAAACTGTTCTAGCTGTCAACTGACCCAATTAAATTTAATTTCATGAAACATTTTTGTTTGCCAACAATTAGTAGATAGTTGGTATGAACAACGAATTCAAATATGTTAGTAGCTAATGTTCAATCATTCATTTACTTATCTTTAGGACACTAACACTTATGCATATTGGGGAATATGTCTTGATATGACATACAATTCTTATTATTTGAAATACCTAGCCTCTCAAATAGTGCAGATTGAAAAAAGTGTGTGGATACAGTGATGAAAATTACCAGTATTGATTGCGAGAATCAAAACAAAATATTGATGAAACCATTCAATGGTGCTATTTTTTCAATATCAATTCAGATCTTCCCAAGTCATGAAATGACATGCACTAGCCGAGTTTTTTTTGCTACTACTCGGATTCTGTAATGTCCATTCATGTTGTTTTATGCTATTTGATTCCTATTCCAATTGTTACTTTTCATTCTGCACTGTTGAATGCTATATCTGTCCATGGTGATTTGGCAAAATAGACTGTGTTTATTCATGAAAACTATCACATATGACATTTTATTCTTTGGACGTCTGCCAAAAGAATTGAGCTATTCAGAATTTGAGGTAACGTTCACAAAAATATCTATAATTTTTAGGAGAGATTAGAATTTTTGGCTAGGTTAATATCTTTCCCAATTTCTAATATTTGGTGTTTCATAAAATATAGACAGTTTTTAAAAAGACTGATTGAATTCTGTATGTATGTTTTTTATTCCAGAGGCTTGAAAGTGAGCACTGAAGAGATTGGAAAAGTTTGCGCTCTGCTTTGTCCATCTTTGAGGTAGAAATATATTCATAAAAGCGATGTAGAATGAAATATGTTTAATTATTTCAGAACTGGAACAAATGAATTTTTTAAAAAGTTACACGAAGCCAATGTACCAGTTTTGGTTTTTTCAGCAGGATTGGGAGACACCGTTGTAGCTGTACTGAAGCATTGCGAAGTGTTGCTTCCCAATGTCGAGGTGGGTTCACTTTGTATTTTTTTACTCTTTCAATTACTTGATATAATAATAACATAATTCCAGTTTGATTTCTTTGTATATTATACTTGAGGTTTCAATATCTGTTGTCCCAAACATTCAGTGCAAAATATTCAATTATCTACTTGTGACTATTTGTCTGATTGAATTTTTGAAATTTTCAGGTAGTGTCTAATTTCCTAAAGTACGACAATGATGGTAAAATTTTAGGTTTTAGAAATGACCTTATTCACGTTTTCAACAAAAACGAGTTTGCAATAAAGGGTACGCAATTTTATAATAAAGTGGCAAACAGAAACAATGTTATTTTACTGGGAGACTCATTGGGAGATGCCACGATGGCGGAAGGAATGGAACATTTGGAGACCGTCTTGAAAATTGGATTCCTGTATGAAAGGGTAATAATACACTAATAGAACTTTTTTTAGAAAAAATTATATCTGCTCTAATGAATATTTCTAATAATTCTATAGTAATACATCACCCATTTCAATCAGTAATGTATTGGATTTTCAAATGAAACATCAAGGTTTCAATTTCGCTATGATATTTTTCTTCCTTTTTCAAGACAATATAGAAAATATCGGTGAATTGGCGTAAGTACAGTACATCAGGTCTAGCTGAGCGGTACGATGCGCTGTGGGAGAAGGGAGAGGGAAAAGCGACAAAGTGTCCCAGCACATAATACTTACAGAAGAGACACCTAGCATGGAACAGGAACCATGAACTTTTTGGACAGATGAAAATCTTAGAGATGATAGTTGTCAAACTAAAAGTTTAGTCAAGTTGTTAGTAGATGCGAACATGATAAAATTGAGATAGTTTAGTTAAAATATTGGCTAAACAATCTGCCGAGATGACATCTTGGATAGTTTCTCAATTTCAATGAAATTGTATATTTAATAATATAATTTGAATAATTTAATAAATAATTCGAATTTATCACTAAAAATGATATTTAACATCTCCAATACAGAATATAGGTCATAAAAACTTGAGCTCTCAACATCATACTGCCGCCAGAAGATTCTCTCTTCTGTAAGATATTCTATGGTCTCAGCTGTTCTCCCACCATGCCATCTTAAGTTCAGGCTAGATATGATGAAAAGTATCATTGAGACAGAGCGGGATACTATCCTTCCTTTTATGGTTACTCTTGATTGATATCCTGCTTGATGTCCTTTACAGAAGAGAAGTAGATCTGCAAGCTTATGCAGATGACCTTGTTATCCTGGCAAGGACAATGCCAGGACGGGTATTTACAGTTGGTGCAAGGGAAGCAGACGTCAGTAAAACTTTGATTTTTCACGAACAACTCAAATTTGTAAACCATATAAACCAAGTGAGTGTAAATCATCCAAAACACTGGGTCTTATTTTACGTCATTGTTCAGGATTTTCCACTGAAGCATTAAAAAGGATTTATTTAGCTCTAGTGGTGTATAAGTTAGAATGTGCGTGTATCATTTGGTCTTCATTTTACAATGTGCACTGTATGTCTCTAGAAAGAGTGCAAAATAAATTTCTGGGATTTTGTTCTTTCAAGTTGGGTCTTCAAATACAGTACCATGACTATTCGAGTATATTACTAGAAATGAGGCTTAAACTATTGCAAACCAGAAGAATTCATGCAGATCTATGCTATGCATTCAAGCTGCTCAATGGACTAATAACTTGTCCTGAATTACTTGAATCTGTCAACATTCATGTTCCAAACAGGAATCTTAGACACAGCCATTTATTTCATATACCCTTCCATCATACAAATTATGGCAAACATACACCCTTGGAAAGAACCCCAAAGTTAGTAGATGACAAAAAAATCAGTAATTTTGGTGTCTCTTATGGTCGTTTTAAACAATCATTGAATAATTTAAGTTGGTAATTGTTTACGTAAGGTAGTGACAAGTTTAATTTTAATTCTATATCCTAAAGTATTTTATAATACATATAATTTTTACACTGTAATGGGGTTTATCCCGTATAAATAAAATAAATAAATAAATAAATAGATGATAATAATAATAATATTCCTTCATTTTATCATTTGAATACACAAACGTCAATATTGCAGTTATATCGTTACATTGAACAAGGACATGTCAACAATTGCAAATTTACTTATACATGTATATATAAAAAACATCAATAGTACAGTTTAAAAAATAATAATCATAAAAAGGAATCGTCTATGGAATACCAACGCTTACAAAGTAGGATCTTTTTCAGCCTCGATTTGAAAATATGAACATTGGGGGATGATTTTATATGATCATCAAGAATATTGTAAAGCTTACAGCCAATACAATGACAGTTTCTTTGGTACAGAGATGCGCGGTGAAAATCAGGATGCGAGATACTTTCCTTCATCAAGAAGAGGAATCTGGATGATTTATTTCCACTTCTCATCAGTGGTGTGGTTATTCCATTTGCTAAGGAGGTGAAATATCTAGGTATTTTCCAAGTTAAACAAGACCTGGACTGTTTAATCAAAGTTTTGCACGATGTCAGAAATAAATCTATCGGGTATATGTGATGGTTGTTATACCGAGGATCAAGTAGGGCTCATTTGCCAGGTTCAGTCAAAGCTCTCTGGTGTATAGAGGCAGGTTTGCCTGGCTATCTCTGATGCCATCACAACTACACCGTTAGCAGCCACATCTTTCTGGAAGAAGAGGCAAGAATTGTGCGTATCTCTTATTGCATAAAACATGCTTATGCGAAGTATAGAAAACTACTGACTGACACAGTTAGAATTCTGGGAATGTCCCTCCAATTGTCAACAAGAACTGCCTAATCCCAAATGAAGAGGATTGGATCCTCTTAGGGGAGGAGGTATTGAGAGCAGATACTTGCTGGTTCTCAGATATATCATAAACATCTTCATATTCTGGTACAGATATCTCAGACCCAAAACAGAGATATTGTCCTGCCTATGGACCTGTGGAACCGTATTTCAAGCAAAAATCTACTTTATTGATTTATGTGTCGTGAAATTGGCAGAAACCAACCTCTCCAATCTTTCCAACCTTGTAAACTCTCAAATTTTACTGAGATAGACGTAAATTCATTACATGAAAGGATAATCAGCTTTTTATTTTCAGAGTGAGGAAGCTCTTCCTAGTTATATGGAAACTTTTGACATTGTTTTGCGAGACGATCAAACAATGGATGTTCCAAAGGCAATCTTCAATATTATTGCAGTTCCAAATGCTGGGTCAGAATTGGGTTCAAAATAGCGATTTGAAAATGTTTATAGTTCGAAATACAAACTGTTTGAAACACAGCACAAAATCGACAACAGTTTTTTCTAGTGTTTGGTGGAATTCTGTTTTTATTTATTTTATTTGTGATAAAATATATGTTATATTGGTAATGCACACTAATAACCCTTTCACAACAAATGATGGAATTATGGGAGGATGTGATAACTTTATTTTTGTGAAAATGTTTTAAAAATTCTGGAATACAAACAATTTTTTGTCAAGAAGTACTATATTCTCCTGGGTGGTCCATTTTTTTATAAACCATCATTACCAAACCCAGTATGAAAGACGAAACTTTTCTTGAATATTGATTATTAGCATTATAGATGAGATGAGAGGGAAAAGACATTATTTGTGGGGTTATTAGTATGCATGTTAAACAACATTACATAAATCTCACTTGACATGAAAAATGTCATTTTTTATTGCACAATTCAGTTTTAGGAAAATATTTTGTATTGATATTATTTTTTTTTTGGAATTTTCGTCATGGGTTTTTCAATATTTATCACATGCTCGTTTTGAATAGTAGACCTGTTGGTGACTAGTTGTTTCTGTGAATATTAAATTTATATTTTATTATCATTGCATTTCAATGACTGTTTTTGATTGAGTTAAGATATTATTTGGTATGACTGGTTCATAGGCCATACTCTATTATGTTCTATTTGACTTTTTCTTTCACTTCATGGCATAGGTTTACTTTTTTCCTATTGATTCGGCCGTTACTTGATGAAGATCCATAGTAATTTCATAAACTACCCCTCACGATTTGATCTCCACAAACTTTAAAGAAAATCACCTGTTTAGCGAAACAGTAGCTTGTTCTTAGCGAATTAAGTACTATAAGTTCATTCTTACTGTGATATTTATATTTCCCACGTAATCACAATTGAGACTTAGGTACTCACTCGATCAAAATACCTTAAACATCCACATAAACTTTTATATACCTAATACATCTTCAAAGGGGAATGTTCCTCAAAATAAAGTTGAGTTTAATTCATGAGTTTTTCAAACTCACTTTGAAAAGTATTCAAATTGATGTTTCAAATGTTGGATTTTAATTTTTAAAGGGATTTGTTCCTAATTCACATATTGGCAACAGCGCCTATATCAAGTTGAAATAATTTATACGTACCTAGATATACTACTTTAAAAAAGGAAAATTACCTTTATAAATCAACAATTAAGGCAAAATATAAATTATAGTTCAATATCACCTCCACAAGCCATATAGACAACAGTTGTTTTGTTATTTATTTATATAGAGGAAGATAGGTTAGGTGCACAAAACGTCATATGACACAGAATGTCTCGGAACATAAGTAAACAGAACAGCACGCCTCTGAAATATGTCATCGTTGTTTGTCTCATACAGGTAACAGATTCATTGTCCTTTATTAGCTATAACTGATGTTGCCAAATGGTGAAATAGAAACGAATCCCTTTAAATGTTGAATGCATTATTTCATTCCTCTTTTTTAAGTATTTAAATAATTTTTTAAAGAAAAAGGTTGAAATGATAAGTTTAAAATGCGTTGT